ATAATATTACTAGCTGTACCCGCGGGCTTTGCCCCGCTTAACTTCATAAGTATTCGCATTGCTCTATCACGTCCCGGTTGAAGTTTGTTCGCTACGCTCACTCACCTTCAGGTTGTAAATAGTTCGCTGTGCTCACTTGTTTTCAGGTTAGCTCGTTCGCTACGCTTACTCGCCTCCAGGTTGATGTTCGTTCGCTACGCTCACTCACCTTTTGGTTGCAAATTAGCTGTTGCCATAAATTAAAAAAAAAGTAATCCCTTTTACGTTTATAATACTTTGATAAAGGTTTTTATGTTTTAATATTTAACATTGGAGAATTTAAACGTTGTTGAGTGCACAGGCGTGCTGCGATTGGGGTTTAATACATTTGGACTTATTAAAAAGTAAAATAGTTTTCTGTGCTGCACTCTGTAGAAACACTGTGGCACTATTTCAAATCATGACTAATGCTAATACAGAATGTTGTGATTATTCAAACCTACAAAACAGTTGGTGAAAGTAAACATCTGTTTTTAAATTATATTTATTTGTAAACATTGTAGATCAAAAAGACTGACATTGGCCCACTTAAAACCCTCTGGGGCAGAGCCCTTTTGACGGATATGCACCAAACTTTAATTGAACCATCCTTGAAAGATGCTTAACAATCCCTGAAAGTTTCATTACAATCTGTCGAGCGGTTTTGGAGTCCATAACGTATATACATATATACACACATACATACATAGTTCCTCTTTTATAGATATAGAATAAGGATTAGGATAATATCTATATATCTATATATATCTTCTATATATATATATATATAATACGCTAAGCCGATTTTTGTAAACAGAACTCCTCCCTCATTTTTGGACCGATTTTGATTATTAAGGTGTCAAAAGAATTGCCCTAATCTGTAGTTTTGCAAAGTGTTTTTCGTTCTTTGATATCTTTATTTGGGCAGGATCTTCCATCAAAGTTAGGTTTTCTCCCATAAGATTAACATGGGGGAATCAAAATATTTAATTGGAAACTTTGCCTCCTCTAATTTGAGAGAACGGCTGGGCGTAGAAACTTGGTAGAGGTGTCCAAAGAAAGGTCTTTGGTCTGTAGATGAGTTATCAAAAGAAAAGCGAAGTAAATTAGCCTAGGGCTCTGCCCCAGAAGCCTTTAAAGATCCCTCCACAGATTTGTTTACATTTTGGTCAGGTGGATAATACTTTTTAATAAAACAGCTGGTAATTTTAAAATTGTATTTTAAACAACACACATTTATTGGGAGTTACTGAATTGTCCAAAAGAAGTATTTGCAATGTTATTTTCTTATTTTAAAATTGATTGTCTTTTGTATCATGTCATGTTTTGCAATATAAAGTTATTTTACGAAATCAGTGGAAAATCCTTTTATCACAATAACTCTTACAATTATTTCTTATTGATCATCTGAAATCTATTTTACGAGTTGGTGTCTGCCTTTTTAACACCTTATTTTCCTTATATTTTTTCACAGTGGCCTATATTACGGACCATGGCCCACTGGGTTGGTAACATTATTGAAAATAACACGACATTTTGGCTGTAAAAATGGCCCAATGAGTAAATACAGCAATGAGTCTAAGCAGCTATTGTCATGACTGAAAGATCATCCTTTTAAACTAGATCACATCATCATTTATAAGATACGTTGATTAACAATGCATGTAAACATCAATATTTACGTAACAGCCAATTTACATTATTTTTAGCATATGAATGAGGAGGCCCCTAACAGTTCAAGAATAAAAGCCAACTTCACTTAAAGTATATTCAACTACACCTAACATTCCGTAGAGAGATTATATTGACAACTTGATGTAACTGATAAGGCTGAGACAACTTACTGACATCCCCCATGTCAAGGAATGCCAGCTTTAACAGTAACCTCACAACCAATTTCTTAAAACTGTGCTAGAGGGTTATTCATTGGCACAGAAGTACGTAATGAACTGACGCGACGTGACGAAGGAAAAACCAAACTTGCACTGTAACGGATGTACCTCCCTTTGAAGTTAGAAAGTGTCTTCCCAACAAACAGATTTTCTTTTTTCAAATAAATTCATAGATTAATTTGCATAACACTGATGAAATCACGGGAGTGTTTAACTACAAAAGATCCACCAAAACGATTTCAATACTAGGTACCTATTTAAAGGTTTTTCCAAAGGAAGAGATACCAGATAGCATACTCACAACTCCGATGACGTACAGTATGGGAAATATTTTATTCGTGGAATGATCAAAAATATTTACTAACTAACGCAATTAATGGCATTATTGTTTTTACACTCATTAATATTCAAACAATGCTAAATGCTCAAAATATGTATAATTTCACTCAATTTATCGCAGTTAGATTAATTATCGTAAGCCTGGAAAGTAACCGTCGATTTCGACGGGTTTCACCTAGTATATAATAATACGTGAAGCCATTTTTTGTTAACGCAACTCCTCTCTTATTAGTGGACCAATTTCAACGTTTAAGGTGTCAAAAAATTCGTCTCAATGTGGAGTTTTGCAATAAGGTTTTAGAATTTTAAAATTACTACTCTTAAGGGCGTGAGACCCTCTCAAAGGCCAAGTTTTCCCCAAAAGAAATACATAGAACAAATTTTAAAACAAAAACCGTTGTTTATAAAAAGAAACTCATTAGCTTTTTTGGAGTAAATATTAATGTTTGTAATATTCAGTAGGTTAAGAACAAGTTAAACAGTTAATCAGTTTTGTTAGAAGAACAGAAAATGCCTCAAGTTCAAAGGATAAATATTGATAATGGTAGGATGAGACAATTCATTAATGCTAAGATATGTTAGGTGTATGAGGACTGAGGAGAGTAGAAAAAGAGAGGTCCAACAGATACCCATCCAGATACACATTCACTTGGTGAGATGAATAATATTTGCCAGCTCTGCTATGCAACTTACTTTGGAAGTGATAAAATATACGAAGCACATACCGCTGTCACGGTGGTAAAGTGAAGTACACTTGCCTAATGTCAGATTAAATGAATGCATGCATGCAAGAAATGTTTACTTCTGACACTGACAGATCGAGATATTTCAAAACATTTATTAGAAACTATAATAATGCCTTGACTATGATAAGTTCAAGTAGTAAGATTATACCAAATCTTGGCGGACCTTATGTTTTTATTGTTTACTTTTCTCTACTTCAATTGGGAAAAACGCAAATGGATTGTTTACTTCTAGGTTATGTTGCCAGTTCCTCGGACAATTATATACAAAGTATTTTGACTGAATTCACCAACACAATCCAGACATATCAAGTAAAAAATAAGAAGTTTTAAAAACTCATTTGCTATTGAAAGTTTTAGTGGCAATATTAGACCAAACATAAGTGAAGGAATTAGTGTTTATGTATTCAACGGTAGAGTAGTTACGGTCAAGTTTATTTTCATGATTCAGGAGAGGCAAATAATATACACTGTTCTAAAAGATAAAAATGAAAATTGCTAACCAAATCTTAAAGCTAAAAGAGTTATCCAACCTATTTTGACAAATGAATCCATACTTTCAAAACTTTTGGACAGGTATTACCGTAATAGAAACTCCACTGAACAACGTGAGAACGTTCTGATGCGGGGCTTATACTGTGACTGACAGACAACACGTTAAAATACGTTAACCATCTTTCAATGGCGTTGCTGCCTTAGCCTATTCAAAGCAGATTATGGCTGATCAGTTGGTAACCCCGAGTTTGTGGTGGTTAAAAATGGTGCAGATGAAATGGTTGATACTGTATTAACCCACTTTTCAGGATTCTCTACGGAGAAAATTCGTTGATCCAGGGGGATGTCTCAAGTCAAAGAAATAAAATGACCCAACTTAAATTACGTAACACAGGTTATCAGCAAGGCAACAGTTTTCTTCAATTCTCAATGGTGGAAAAACTTTGTAGCATCATGTTAACTCAATTTGAAACAGATCATTTAGCATTCATTAGAAGTTAGTTATCAGTTAAAACTGAGAGCAGAAATAATGTAGGTGAACCTTGATGATGCAAATACAGACATTTAAAATTAGTTTCTAACAAGTCTTTAAACAACTCTAAGATGTAACTAGAATTACTCGAATTTCAGCATAACCTTTTCCTCGGCGTTATGTTTCATACTATGCGGCTCATTGAGCCACACGGGTACTCTAGTATTTGATATTTTATGAAACAACCTACAAGTTTCTAAGATGCTTGGTTATGTACTTCATAAGTACAGTATTAAATAAAACTATTGATTTCCGTACCGGGTTGGGTGGCATTTCGAGTGGATTTCATGGCTAATTTGAAGAAAAGCATTGGACTTAATAGGAGAGTCCATATGAACAAACTTTGTCACGTTATTCAGCATGTCCAAATAAACAAAAATATGTAATAAAAAAACTGTGATTTATAATTTCATAAAAAATCATTTTATTTCACACACCACACATTATTATATTCCTTATTCTCACTGACCACTCTCACTTCACTCATATTAAAAAATTTGAATTGTTAAATTATCTTGTATCTGATTTAATTTCTGAGAAGAAAGACCTAATGGCTGTCCCCTGATTGATTGTGTGAACATAATGTTTTCCTGTCTTCATGGTCCAGCGTTTGTAAAACCTGCCGTACAGTAATGGCAACGTTGATTTCCTCGTCAAACATGTTGAGGCACTACTGTAGAAACGAATGAACAAATAATTCTGTTGTTTGAAAATATACTGCGACGTGCTTGAACCTACCGCACACTCGATGAGCGCTGAAGAAGGAAAACACTTGAAGCAAAGCGTTGTAGAATATTTTGCTTTAGGTGAAATGCTGGATCAGTGTGCGCCCAGTGTCTATTCTTAAAACTCCATACTCAGTTAATTCTCCACGAATTCGTTTGGATATAAAGATATATCGTTTGGGCTTCGTCATTCTCATATCTCTCTGGAATAATCTTTGGAATGTATAACTTTAATTAAGTGAATTTTCTTTTTTAGGAAACTGGACATCTCCAGAACAATAACATAGAAGGCAAGAATATTATTAAAAGTAAGTTACACTATGTATTTAGTTTGCAATTAAAATCAAGCCCCAATTTTTCTGGAAAAATGTTTAGTGTAACCTATGTAAAATAAGCCGTTATATGTTAAGTTTAAAATAAAACAGACGATTGAATTCATGAAACTATAACTGAGCTAAACAATTTAGCTGAAAATCTACTGTTGTGCGATTTTTCAGGTATGGAAATAATACTGGAAGACATTAGTACAGCGTCATGGGCTCTGGTAGCAATGTACAAACAGAAATACGCTCCTCGATTTGTACTACTTTGCCAACGATCATCGGACAACAAATACTACTCTAGTGTGTTCAGTGACGAAGTTCACGTTCTTACAATAGCAAATCATGATTGCACCCCCAAGGGAGACTCTCCATCTGAATCAATAATTGTTACAATCGATAAAAGAGACAAGACAAGTGGAGAAGAGTATGTCTTTGTAAAATCATCAGCCAATGCCTGGTTTAGCGTTTGTAGAAAATGTAAGGGAGTTACCTATCTTCCTGCTTATAACGCCTGGGAAAATTCAAAATGGAATCAGGTAAATGTAAAGAAATGTTAAACCTAGAAATATATTTATTAAGCTAATAAGGATCACGAACTATGGAGAAAACTGTAAGCTGTGTACAAAAATACTGCATAGTCTCCCAACCAACTGGGTTTTAGATCTTATTTTTAGCGAATTTCCCATATAGGGAATAAGCTATTACCGTAGTACTCATGGTAAGACCTGGACCTGGGACCGATTTACTTTTTCGTTTTGAGGTCCCTAGAGACCAAAAACACCATCCGTTCAAATTCATATACATATATATATATATTTATATATGTGTCAATTAGCGCGATAACTTGAGAAAAAAATCATCCGATTTTGATGAAATTTGGTACAAACGTGTAAACCTACGTTTATTTGAACGAGTTCGCGAACCAGCATGATCGGATTATGAGAACAGGGGTTTATGGGGGGTTTTATGGGGTAAAAATTGGGTTTTCCCATTTTTCACCCTGTAAGCATAATATTTTGCAATTCCTTTCCACACCATTTTGTAGAGCTTAAAAAATCTAACAATTTAGTATATTGAAGTGTTATTATGCGCCTAATGGCTACGGAGAAAATTAAAAGACATTTTAAATTTAAAATACCCATGTTATTTTTATGGAGAAAATTGTAAACTGTTGTAGTTGACTTGTTTATGAGCATATTTTGATCAAATTTGGAAAATGCATTAATTTTATACTAAACTATTACCATTTCACAAAAAAAACCTTTTACCCTCCCTGTTGCAGCAAACCTAAATACTCGTTAAACTAATGCTATTTAAATAGTGAATAAATGTAATATTTTTAAGGAGACATTTTAGTGTAAATCCAATCAGGCAAATGGAAATTCGCTTATTTATTTATTTATTTCATACGGAGACACCATTATACAATAATATACATTGGCAAATAGCACTGTTTGGCATAAAAATATAATAACAATAATGAAATGATTGGAAAAAAATAGCACTATACAATAATAACAAGAAAAGCAACCTAGCTTAGTCTGCAGGTTTGCTGCGGCGGGGGTATTTTATTTTTATTAGTTTTGATTAGCGAAAGAGATTACATGACTAAATAATAAGTGATTCAAATTCCAATGAAAAATAGGCTGGTTACAACACAAAAGTATTTTATTCTATCATACGCTTTACAATATTTCTCATGGGCTAGGTCAATTAGATTTTATAGATAGGTTTTATAGGCCAGGTTCATGGGCTTACTAACAATTCGATACAGCAAATAGTCTTTTAGCTCAGGGCATAGTTTCAAGCCAGTTAGGGTAATGCAATTCTGATCTTTAACACGGAAATCGGCTACTTAATTTACCTTAATAGTTTAGCCTTAACTAATAATAATGCAATTTAGAAGAGTTCTTAGCCTATGGAAAAAATATAATTATAATTGAATTTCTAGATAGTAAATATATATTACTATAGTTGAAAATATGATTTTGCTTCAAATTTTGATAAAATTAGTTTTGAATAGGATGTTAAATGTTTTTGAGGAGAAATTATAGTTCACTAGGAACAAGGTGGTTGTTAGAACTGTTATTGATGGTTTTAATACTTATATTAAATATTAACAGCTTTCTTCTGTAATAATCTTCTTTCTTCAGGTTTATGTTGTATGAATATTCTATTCTTCTTCTTTAAATTTATTATACTTTTAAATAATACTTATTAAATTACTGAAGATTTGACTGCCACATCCTTTCTTCACCAAGGTACACTGTAGCACATTTCTTTCCCTTTGTTCCAGGGTTACTTCAACAATATAACACTAACACTTACGGGCTATGGTACATCTACAGAGTATACAGGGAACTTGTACATATATATACATTTTAGTATATCTTTATATAAAGCCAAAAGTACCCATGAACTTTTGAGAAAACTGCAAGTCACACCCCCATTAACCATATACTTAAAATGTTCGTCATGACGAGAAACCTTGCGCAAAACTATCCATTATGTCATAAATTGGCCTTAAAATAATGTCTAAATTCTTTTCTAAAGGAAACTTTTCATATGCCTAATGTTAAAAATACCGGTACCTCATCTGTACTTATTTGTTTGTTATTCTTTCAATTTATTGCCTTATTAAAATCAGGTGTGATTATTTGTTTCTTTTATTTTATTTTGTTTATTTCAGGTTAACTTAACCAATCAATAGTTTTATTAATACCTATGATGTAAAACGGGTTGAAGCCAGTGGGTAACAGCTAGTTCTTGTTAAATACAGCTTTCTTATTAGGACCTTATTTTAATAATAATAATTACATCTAAATATTTTTCATATAATTATTTGCCATGATTCGTTGAATATAATCAATAAATATTCATAGTTTTTAGAGGTAATTTAGTTAAAATATACAACATTTATTTTGATTTTTGATATTAAACATGTGGTTAGTTATATTTACTTGCAGTCATGATTTATCTCAATATCAAACGTAAACTTGAAGGAAAGGTCTTGACGTGAACTGAAAACTTCTTTCTTAAGGGCACTAACCCTTATTAAGGGGTTGAATCGAATCGCATTTAAAATATTAAAGAGTATTGTATTGTAAAGCTATTGTATTTGTTTTGTTCATAATTTTTTTTAAATTTTTTTCCCGAGTTAACGTTTTGATTACTACCATAAATTGTCTGCACCTTGACAGGTACAGTACGTTATTCTTATGATGAGGGATAGTATTTAATTTTAGCGTTCAAACCTTTTATTTGTGTATCTCCAATTGATTACATATTAAGTTCAGCTTTCTACAATTAAAATAATGCAGTAATTAATTGATAATGCATACGAATGTTTCTTCCTATATTTTAAACAAGAACTGTATAGTTTGGGAGGAGCATTATAAGTTCCAATTGGAAGGAAATCATATGTCTGATTAAACACCTAGTCATCCAGCAGATTGCAGTGGACAAGGCACAGAAGATCCACAAAATGTCCCTGTTTTCTGCTCCCGGTGCGGAGCACTGGTAGAACAACTAGTTATCTAGAGTTAGCTATTAGCAAACACTGACCATTAGAGTTAGTTAGTTGTTAGTTGACTTAACGACTTAATTTTTTTTATTACTTGGCATAGTTTTGTGATTTTTACTATATTATCTTTATATTATATTATATTATATTATCTATTATAGTTAATCGTTAGACATTTTTGTTCGACCTCTTAAGGCTACCAGGACTTATGAACTATTCGTTAGAACAGTACCGTTTACTAAAATCAAGACATAATGGTTGACAAGGGCATCCCTATCCATGTTTTCAGTAAAGGTCAGCTGTAAAAGCAGTTGTTTTAGTGCGGCACGCAAGATCTGTAAAAAAAAAAATTTACGCATGATGTTTAGATTTAGCAAAATTTGTATTGACATCTTTTAAATCTTACTCATATTTAAACCTTTTTTAGGAGCCTATAATGGAAGGATGCACACTGAAAAGTAAGTAATGATGAGACTATAATATAGTGTTTTTATCTGTTAAGAAAATATGCTAAATTGGTATCCCTTTTTAGTAGAAGATATAAATTTAATCCAAGATAAACATAACAAGAAATTTGATATTGTATGAAATAATATGTCTTAAGCTTGAAAATAGTAGTATAATTATTAAAGTATAATTATTTACACCCAAATAAAATTATTAGCACTATGTAAGTCCAACTCCGTTAATAGTACATGAGCAAATTGATATTTTGGTAACACCTGGGGTGGCAAGTGCTTTCAATGTTTTCTTGTATAGTTTTATGTGTAGATTAAGAATATATGTGATAGCAATGCATAAGTAGTAGCTTTATGTACAAAATAGTAGGTTTTATATAACAAAATTGAATTTTGTCTTATATATTTGTAAGAAGGTACCAGTCAAGGTGGCACGTGCTATCAATGTTTTTCTTGTATAGTTTTATGTCTAGATCAAGAATTTATGTGATTCGGACCCGGGACCGATTTTTTTTAGTTTTGAGGTCCCTAGAGGCCAAAAACACCATCCGTTCAAATTCATATACATATGTGTGTCCGTTAGCGCGATAACTCGAGCAAAAATGATCCGATTTTGATGAAATTTGGTACAAACGTGTAAACCTACGTTTATTCGAACGAGTTCGCGAACCAGCATGATCGGACCATGGGAACAAGGGTTTATGGGGGCTTTTATGGGGTAAAAATGGGTTTTTCCCATTTTTGACCTAAAAACATAAAATTTTGTAATTTCTTTCTAAACTATTTTGTAGAGCTTAAAAAACAAATTATTTTGTATATTGAAGCGTTATAATGTGCCTAATGGTTACGGAGAAAATTCCAAAAAATTGTAAATTTAAAATTCCCATGTTATTCTTATGGAGAATAAGTAAACTGTTGTAGTTTGCTTGTTTATAAACATATTTTGCCCAAATTTGGAAAATGTTTTTATTTCTTACTAGCTATTAACATTTTACATCAAAACACTTTTACCCTCCCTGTTGCAGCAAACCTAAGTATGTGTAAAACTGATTCTATTTAAATAGGGAATAAATGTGATATTTTTAAGGAGACATTATAGTGTAAATCCATTCAGGGAAATGGAAATTCGCTTAGTCTGCAGGTTTGCTGCGGCGGGGGTATTTTTTATTCAGTTTTGTATGTAGATCATAAATTTACATTAAAACATTATCTATATATAAGCTTTTTTTAAATTACTTTAAATTTTAAAATACAGAGTTTTTTATTTGAACAACATGTTTTTGGCATTTCGATTTACTTTATTTGGACATTAATAAGATTGCGGAATCTTTGGGCCAAGACGTATGTCAATCGCTATTTGGATTACGCGCTTTCACTGGCTGCGACACTGTTAGTGTTTTTGCTGGTAAAGGCAAGTTTGCAGCACTGAAAATGTTACGAAGGAACAAAGAATGTCAGAAAATATTTCAAGAACTGGAAAATAGCTGGGTTGTTCCAGGAATTATTCAATCGCCTACAAATGTTTGTGTGTAAGCTTTATGGAGACAAACAAGAAACCAATAAAGTAAACCAGTAAAGATATCAAATGTTCTGTTCTAAGAAGGGTGAAGTTGATTCCAAAGGGGTGAAATATGTCTTTTTGCTGACGACACCTCTCTCGCTGTCTCTAGCCCAAACCGACTCGAACTAGACATGTGTGCCTTTATACAAGCCAGTTGCTTGTTGCAGTGGTTCGATGAAAATCTTCTAAAAATCAATCCAACAAAAACTCATCTTGTTTAATTCTCAATTAGAAAAACCAAAAACAAACAAAATTTTATTTTGGACGATACTGAAACTGAAACCCCTGCTCAAGTAAAATTCCTGGGTCTGTTGTTGGACGAGAACTTGTGTTTCAACCCGCACATTGATTCTGTCTGTAGAAAGATTAGTTCAGGAATATTTCTTTTGCGCCAACTAGCAAAATTTTCAAACAAAGAGGTCCTTCTTACTGCTTACTATGGTGTACTTTATCCACACATGATATATGCAGTTGCACTATGGGGTGGTGAAAGCACAAGACCCCATTTCCTTTTTCGCCTTCAAAGGAGAGCTATCAGAATAATTCACGGCCTTCCCTACAAACATACTTGTAGAGTTGTATTCAAACCATTGTATGTGACCAGACTGGTGAGCAGTACTCCAACAAAGGGCGGACCCGCTGCACATACAAAGTCCTTAGAGCAGGAGTTGAAAACCCATCTCGACACATTCTGACAACAAATTCCAGAGCAGAATAAGCCTTCTTACTTATGTTTCTTAAGTGAGGTTCTGGACTTAGATTCGAGGAAACAGTTACCTCCAGATCTTTCACTGTAGAAGATCGGTGTAGAGTCTAACCGAATAAGGTATAGTTGAACACCATTACATTCGTGTGCCGAGAGAAAGAGAGTACAACGCACTTAGATATGTTCAACTCCATCTCATTCTCCGAACACCACCGCAGCACAATGTTCAAGTCACTCTGCAGCTCCTCACATTCAAAGTCCGTTGTTACTTTCTTTTCGTTGTTACTTAGATTTTAGCATCGTCTGCAAACAGCAACACTCTTGAATCCTTGACAGCATGGACTAGGTCGTTAATAAAGATTGAAAACAGTACAGGACCCAAAAGAGAGCCATGAGGCACTCCAGATAACACAGGAAAGGCTTCAGATTCAGATCCATTATATCTCACAATAAGGCAGCGTCCACTAATTTAGCTCCGAAACCACTTCAGCATAGGTCCAGCCACTCCCAAAATACCAAGCTTAGCCATAAGGTGATCATGGATGATTCTATCGAATGCCTTTAAGAAATCTATATACACACTATCCGTGGTAATGTCGTCATGATATGTTATTAAGTTTTTCGTTGAGGATCTGCCACTATAGAATCCATGTTGAGCTGTAGACAGAAAAATTCTGGCAAAGAAAGACTGGTATTATGTCATCGGACGCCGAAAAGTACTTTTTGGTGTTGTGATGTCAACAACTCTTACTTGTCCACCTCGACCGGTGTACAGGGCAGATATTCCTCCAAGGGGCCAAGTGTTATGTGCATTGTTTTCATCATTTTTTTTGTCTACGATTGTTGCCAAGTCGTTAATTCCAGGTGTAATAGTTAGTTTGTCTTCATCCATCCAAGCTTTCCACTTCAGACTGAGTTCAGTTGTCACAACATCATTCCAACCTAGTTTCGTTCTCCATATATCCTTAACCAGTAGTCTGTTTTTCACTATGGTAGGGGAAATCAGACCTAGGGGATCAACAATTAACATAGCCGCTTTAAGAATCTCTCGTTTCGTCGGATACTCAGATTCGAGAAATTCAAGTTTTTCGACATTGCGATGGAACAAATAGCAGTCGGATTCAGAGTCCAACCATAATCAAAGTACTCGTTCTGTAGGAAGTCGAGTATCGGGCATCAAGTGTTTGGCTTGGCTGGCTTTCAGGTTTTCAGGTTTTCAGGAATTTTCGTAAGTACTTGTTTTTAGTTATACATTCAGTTACGAATTTGGAATCCTCCATGTGTCTCATGTGTCCTATGTGTCTCAATTATTTCTTGAACACGTCGTTTAGCTTCCTCTTCTGTGTAGGTCGAATCTAGCAGGTCGTCCATATATTCTTTAGTCAGTATGGAATTACTAGCTTCAGTATACAAAGAGTGAAACTGTCTTGCATTGTGGGTTTACAACAAACAGTGCAGAGCTTGGTGAACATGTTGCTCCGAAGGCTTTCATTATGTAGGTATCTGGGGGTCTGTAGAAATCTTTGTGAGTCAACGTCTTCATCTCTTATATTTACTTGGTGAAACATCTCCTTTACATCTCCCACGATAGCAAATTTTTCTAACCGGAATTTAAACAGCACAGATGGCAATGGATTCAAATAGTCAGGGTCGCTGAGTAGTGCATCATTGAACGAGACTCCGTGAGATTTAGCAGCAGCATCGAAAACCAATCTTATTGTGTTAGGTTTGTTCGGGTTTGATACTCCAAAGTGGGGTAGATAGAATGTTTGACCTGTTATGATAGCAACTTTTCAGGGCTGAGTTTTCTTATATATCCTTTTTCCATATGTTCGTCAGTCTTGATTGTGTAAGCCTCTTTAAATTCCTGATATTTTTCCATTTTCGTTTCAAGAGTATTTAATCTTCTCAGAGCATTGTCATAGCTTGGAGGGAAATTAAATTCGTCATCTTTCAATAAAAGACCAACTTCGTAACGATCTCCTGTTTTCTTTATGGTATCCTCAAGGATTGACACTCCACGTACTTCTTCATTTGACAATTTCAGGTCATTTGATCTAGTTTCTCCATATTTCTCTAATTCAAAGGATTTCTTTACCATGTCATGAAGTGAAGATTCTTCATATGAGAGTAGGGTAAAATTCTCATCCACACGATCTCTGAATTGTGCACACTTCCCATGTAGAGTCCAGCCAAGAAGGCACCATGACAGTACTGGGGCGCTAGTAGGACATTCAATAATCTTACGGGTTAGAATTAGATTACAGTTGTCTTGGCCTATCAAGAGAGTGGGCCTGACACTCGCTAATGGAAGAGGTTGGTTGATCGAGTCTAGGTGACCAGTTCTTCCTCAATTTGACACTGTCTATTTGTTGGTGTGGTAACTCTAAATTGGACTGAGTTCTAACCCCTTTCAATGTAAAGATTTCATCCTCGTAAAAATCCTTTTATTTTTAAATCTATTCTCTTTGATTGAGATTCAAAGTGTCTTGTGTTGTTAGACCAACATGTTGTCAAAGGAACAATCTCACCTTTGATACCAAGTTCATCGGCAATTGATGAATCCAGAAGTGATACAGTCGAGCCGTCGTCTAAAAGGGCATAAGTATCTACCTGGGACTTGGGACCGTACAACGTGACAGGACAAACACGAAGCAAAACACGGTTTGATATGTTATTCTCAAAATGATTACCGATTACTTCATCTCTAGATTTTAACCCTCCCTCATTTCT